AATTATTGGCAACAATTTTTTTCCGGTAATGAGTGCGATAATAATTGAGTTCAGTTTTTATTGGTATTTTTATAATACAAATGGTTTTTCAACTTTGATTTTTTTGATAGATTATGTTAGTACCAATGATAAGCAACGCATACTGCCATCCGTTAGTATTCAGGTGTTTGACGAAAGGATTGATATTATAGAAAAACGTGAAAGACGCCGAAATCGAAAAACTGCTAGCATTTTTGCGAAGTTTTGGCTTTTGATGTGGAAAAACTTTTTACTTCAATACCGTCACAAAATACAAACGATCATTCAAATCCTCATTCCGATGTTGTTCACTATGAATCTATTATTTATTCGACTTTTGATAGATCCGGAAATTTATTCGAACAATACGAAATTCGAATCATTTGGTATCAACAAGACGTTCAATCAGTCGTAAGTAAAATAATGTGTTAAAATTATATCATTTTCATAAGTTTCGATTAAGTCATTTGGGGAATTCATAATCCCAAGACCATGTGCGTTGCTAAAAAACCACTCGAAACAAACAGAGTCGGCAAAATCAAAAGTAAACAGAACAACGTGGCATTTCATCATCATAATTCAGAGATCAACGTTGTAGGGAAGTTTTTTTGCTTGCTCTCCAAAATTTATCACTTGATGATATGGTTCAGTTCACCATCTGTAATTCTGTACAGATGATTGAATGCTATTTTAGTCCGATTACTTTTGATTTTGGACGAGTGTAAGAAACATGTTTATTCAATGGTGATTATTTCGCCGAAATGGTTTTTTATAGTTTCTATAAAATTCTTGGAATGCTTGTCAATCAGGCTTATGATTTCGTCATATTAAGTAAAGCGCAGTGTTTGGAATATCGATTTCATAAGCGAGATAGACGAACAAAAGCGATATACGTACGCCGTATCACGCAGAACTTCTGTGAAGCGATATACGTCAGTTCTGTGCGATACCGCTGCATTTAAGTCGCTTGTGCGTCTTATATTTGGATGTAATATACCGTTTGAAATCGATATTCTAAGCACGCAAGGCATAAATATTCGGCGTAAATATTCGATCGGTGATTGTATTTTGGACGCTCAGTGTCTCACTTGTATATTGGATGCGCAATAAAGGTGCTACTCAAACTGCTCATCCAAATATGGTCAGCTATCGCGGACACCGCAACTGAGCATTCAAATTGCAATGACTGTATTACACTGATCGTGATACTTATAATCAAAATATATCAAAATATTTACAAGCATCCGGAACGGGAACAGACGGAACACACAAAAATTGTTTTAAGCTCTAAATATCGATAAGACCAACGAAGATGATGAAAAAGAATAAACGAAATAATCGCATACTATGTAAAATAATTAAATCTGCGGTCCATATCAACAATCGCAAAATTTCGGGCGAAACCTAAAATAACAACACATCTATTTTCAACATATCCATAAATCTAAATATATATGGAACACGCGGATGTCGGCGGTCAATTGAACGTCGGTCGTACTAATTTGGTTGTACTCATTTAACCCATGACCTTAAAAATAATAAGATCTACATCTCATTGAATAAATTGTGACGTAGCACGATCGCTTCGAATAATAAATGTTACAATCTCAATTGACATAATATAATATCGACTGTATCTTTATGACACCGAATGAAAATAATTTTATTATGATAAAATGTCATTTTAATTGTTTTTTAGTGAAATGCATGAAAATGTCCAGTGTAATACACCTGAATACAAATTAGTTTATTCGCCTGAAAATGAAGTTTTTGGACATTTACTCCAAGAAGTGGCGAAAGATCTTACTAAACAATCCAATCTCACTTGGGGCGTCTCAGGCGTGAATGATTCATCAGAAGTTGAAGCAAAGATGAAAGAACGTAACTTTTTGACTGCAGTTGTGTTTCCAGATGATCTGAAGGTAAGCAAATTAAAATATTCTCCACTTTTGTTCCAAAGACAAAAACAACTAATTTTTTTCATTTTGCAGAATACAACCAAACTGCCAGAAAATCTTGTCTACACTTTGCGTTTCCCAGGTGAACTCAGAACGAACTATACAAATGATTCAATCGTTTTTAATTGGGAGACAAGTATGCAATACCCACAATATTCCGGCGGTGGACCACGTGCAAATCTCACGGATCAAGGCGGAGCTCCGAATTACTTTTTTGAAGGTTTTTTGGCCATACAACAATTAATCGCATTGAATTTTGCAAAAAATTTAAGTAACGGAAGTGATGAATTTGAAAGATTTAAAATTAAAATGCAACGATTTCCGTACCCGCCATACACGAAAGATGACCTGCTCGATGGATTGGACAGAGCCATTGGATTGTTTATTATGTTAAGTTTTGTCTATCCGATAATATGTACGGTTCGCTTTATTGCGGTGGAAAAGGAGAAACAATTGAAGGAAATTATGAAAATTATGGGCATGCCGGTTTGGTTACATTGGACCAGTTGGTTTGTGCGAACAATGTTCTTTTTGTCCATTTCCAACATTTTGGTGATCGGTGTACTAAAGGTAATTTCAATTATTTTCCCACTTGTCTTCCAATGTTATTAAAAAAATTCTTTGTTTTCAGATGCCAATGTTTGAAATTGCGGACCAATCAATCGCCATTTTTACACACTCGGATTGGAAGTCGATGTGGGGTTTTCTGCTTGTATATGGTGCTTCAATGACAACATACTGTTTCATGTTAAGTGTTCTATTCTCAAAAGCAAATACTGCCGCCGCTGTATCTGGACTCATATGGTTCGTTTCTTACATGCCATATGTTTTTCTCACAATCAACAACACCATCAAAGTACCCGAATTTGTGCAATGGCTGGCGTGCATTTCGCCAAATGTTGCAATGTCATATGGATTCAAAACAATTGCAGAGTACGAACGAAATGTTGGTGGTTGGCATTGGGGGAAACCAATTAAAATACCTGAAATAACTGATAGCAATATCGAAGTTGAAACAACCATGTGGTTCATGACAATAACAGCCTTCGTATTTCTTCTGATTGCATTCTACATAGAAAAAGTATTTCCCGGTGAATATGGTGTGCCACACAAATGGAATTTCTTTTGCAAAAGTGATTTTTGGCTCGGCGATGATGGATACACTAGTAGAGATGTCTCAAATATCCAAGAGACAAACGAGAATTTTGAAGACGAACCATTGAATTGTGAGGCCGGTGTTCGAGTGAAAAA